AGGAGTGAGGAAGGGCGAGGGGCGAGGAGCGAGGAGCGATGAGGAGGGCCCTCCGATGGCGGCCGAGTGCTGAGCGATGAGGTGGAGAGCGAAGAGCGAGGAGCGAGGAACGATGAGCGAGCGAGCAGCGATGAGGGCGATGAGCGAGGAGCGATGAGGGCGAGGAGCGAGGTGCGAGACGCGCGGAACGATGAAGGGAGGAGGGTCATCCGAGCGCGGCCGGGCGCGCCGAGCTGCTCCGCGAGGACCAGCTTCTGCTGTTGCTTGGCGAGCTTGGAGGAGGCTGGGAACAGGCCCACCGGGGGGAATCCCTCGCGGCGCGGGAGGGGGCGAGGAGCGAGGTGTGCGCGAGGCGGGCGAGGGGGAGGAGAGAGGAGGACAAAAAGGCGGGAGGAGGAGGAGGAGGAGGAGGAGGAGGAGGAGGAGGCGGAGGAGCAGGAGGACGAGAGGGCAGGAGGCGAAGGCGAAGGCCAAGGAGGAGAGCACCCGAGAACAATAGGAGGCGGACGAGGAGCCGAAGCAGCTGCAGCAGGAGGGCGGAGAGGAGCACGGGGGGAGCAGGGAGGAGGACGATGAGTATGAGGGAGAAGTGGATCAATGGATGATGGGAGAGAGGGAAGGAGGGGATGGGGAGGGCGAGGGCGCGAAGGGGAGGGGGGGGGAAGGGGGGCGCGCGGGGGGGGGGGGTGGTGAGGGGGCCACTAAGACTCATCGGCCAGGCTGCGCAACACCGGCTGCGTCGCCTGTGCCCGACTGCCAGGGTGCACCTGTGGCGGCCCAGGGCGTTCGCGGAGACATCGTGACGACAACGAAGATGCCGACTTCTGAGGCCTTGCTCGCCGCCGAATGTGGTTTCTGGGTCATAACTCGGGTCTCCAAAGGGCGTTCGGGACAATCCGGGCACCCCCGGAACGCCCTCGGCGAGGCGCAGCTGCTGGCAAGCATCGCGAGGCTGGAAAACCGCCGAGAACCGACGAGCACGTCCGAAAACCTCGAACCCCGAACCCGAAACTTCCCCCCCTCGCTCGCCGCCGACCCTCTCAAGAACACGGCTGCACACGGAACCGTTGGGGATGCGGCCCGCCACGCCCGGTGTTGCCCGCGCTGCAGCGCGGGCAACACCCGAGGCCCGGAGGACGGCCGAGGGCCCGGCCTCGGCCAACGTGAAGTGAGCGCTGGCGCAGGGCATGGCGTCAGGCCGGGGGCCGGCCCCGAGACGGAGCTGGCCAAAAGAGGGGGCACGGAGTGGTTTGCCATGGGTTCCCCCCTCAACTCAAAGATAAGACACTTTACTGTGGTCTCTTGTAGTCCCCAGGCTCCTCAACCCATCCCCCGTCAGTGTTGATTCTTCCCTTTCTTGGGTAATCGTCGCAAGGCGTGGACCCCCAACCGATCCAGGCTCCCAGGCCCCCGATCCCCCCCGACTATACTCGCAGGTCCCTCCGTGCCACGGAGGGACCTGCGAGTACAGTCGGGGTGGATTGGAGAGGACATGCGAGAGGACACGAGAGACTCTTGCGATGGCCACAGTGCCAGTGGAACGCAGTGGGCATGGGTCGCGAAAAACAGGACACAAGGGTACCCTTGTTTGGGCAGGGTCGACCTACTAATCAAACTCGACTGTGCTGTGTGGCCGATTCTGGAAGCCCTGAACCCCAAAATATTGTCATCTCTTGGGGGCGCATCTTCTGCTTCCGCCGCCTTCCGCGGGCTTCCGCTGGCGAAGGTGGTATCGTTTTACTTCCGCCGCCTTCCGCCGACCTTCCGCCGAGACAGAGCTGGGCAAAGCAGGGCTCGAGCTAAACAGCGTGTTCCGTCTTCGTTTTAGTGTCGTTTTCCCTCGTGCTGCTGTCGTTCCACATATGTTGCAAATGGGAGATCGAAACGTAAAGGGTCCACGAAATCGCCGAAACACCGCTTAGCTCGAGCCCTGAGCCAAAGATTGGACAAGGAAGGACATACTAGGACCATGTGCTTGTGTTGGAGGCGCCCGTCTGGACCGAACATAGAATAGAGTACAAACATCTCGTAGCGCATCGTGTCCCAAGCAGTATGGCCAGCGGCGCCCGCCACGGAGCTTGCACTGTCAGGTTTCTCGGCGCGAGCGTCGACCCTGGGGGGGCGACGCACGCATCCGCCGCCGTGCCTGTGGGCACGGAGTGGGCGCATCCTCAGGTCCCGTGCCTCATCCCCTGAGCCTGAATCCTCGATCCTCTTCCGGCGGTGGACAAACCTCCCTTTAGTAAACCTCCCCTTAGTGAAAACGGCCTGAGACCGAAACCGACGGACCTGGACCCGCAAAAATGACGGCCGCGACGCCCTCTCGCGAACCGAAAACGGCCAATTCCTTCATCGACGTGTCAGGGTAGGAGGTCTGTCCACCCCCGACTCTTAAGGGGCCCGGAGCCCAAATTGCCAAAATTTTCTTGGGCTTGCCGCGGTTCCCCATGGGCTCCGGCGCGTCTCCCCGCGCGACTTTTCTCGGACCCCAGAAGGGCCCCAAGACGGGCCAACAGAGCCCCAAGAGACTCCCAAGATGGTCCAGGAGGGTTTCGAGACGTCCAAAGATCGCTCCAAGACGCCCAAGATGGTTGCATGACGGCCCAAGAGACCTCCAAGAGGCCTCCAAGACGCCCCAAGAGATCCCCGAGAGCTTTCCCCAGAGGGCCCCGAGAGGCCAAAATCATTGACTTTCATACGTTTAAGCATGAGTTCGGGGTCCGCGACTTTTCGAGCTCCCGATACTCCAAGACGGCCCAAGAGGCCCCCAAGACCGTCCCAAGACGGCCCAAGATGCCCCCAGGAGGGCCCCAACGCGGCCCAAGAGGGCTCCAAGACGGCCCCAGAATCGCCGAAGAGGTCACACGAGGGCTCAAAGACAGCACCAGGAAGGGCCCAAGAGGGAGAACACGAACCGAAAATCCGAACCTTCCGCCCCAAGAGGCACCCAGGAGGTCCCCAGCAGGCCCCCAGGAGGCCTCAAGCGGCCCCCAAGAGGCCCCGAAGACGCACCAAGAGGCACCAAAACGGCCCCCCAAAGGCCTCAAACCGGCCCCTCAGAGGCCCCGGAGAAGCCTCCCGCGACATCCCAACGAACATCCTAGAGGTGGCGGGATGGGCCGAAGGCCATGAAATAGCCTCACAGTCAACCCGTGCAAGGAGAAAGCACGATAAGGATGCAAGGGCCTTGGAAGGCCATGTCGACACTCTGCGAGCGGGGCGCGGCCAGCGAAAGCGGCCAAGGATGGGCCGCAGGGAGATCACTTGCGCGGGCGCAGGGCAGCATCTGGGACATTCCGCGCACCTTCTGCCTACAGTGATCGCGCTACCAGGAGGAACGCTAGGCTGCTCAAGCTACGGCGATCCTCGGCCACGAGAAGGTTCCCCGACCTAGGTGTAAGGAACGGCCCGAAAACCAGCTCTCCGACGGTACGGTTCTTTCAATCCCGGCGGCGTTCCTCGATGTCGGCCCCTTGGGGTCCGCTTCTGGGCCCCAAGGGGCCATCAAAAACGGATCCCGGGCGAACAACTGGCCCCGAAGAAGGCGTCGTGGGCGCTGGGGCCGTGGCTTGAAAACGTCATATGTCGCCGCGCCGTGTGTGCTCGACCCGCCCACGTGGACGCCGTCGACACCACGGCAAGCCCTGCGCCCCGCGCCCGAGTCAACGACGCCGGCACCGCGGCAAACCCACGGCGAGCCCACCGCGCCCGAGGCGGCCGTTGCCCTGCTGGCCAGGGCGGCCTGCCCAAGACGCAGGGCCGCGCATCGGAACAAGCGGCGCGGCGACAGATCGGAGGCTGTCTGGGCTGCTTCCGCCAGCGGGCCCGCCGCCGGTTGACTTCCGCCGCCTTCCGCAGGCCGTCCCGTCGGCCTGCGCCGAGGGCGGCACGCGCCACGAGGCAAGGCACTCCCTGGAACGCACCGGCTTCGGCCGTGGGCGGTCGGGGGTAGTCGGGGACAGGGCCCGCCAAGAAGACTGGCGCCGGCGCGAGGCAGAAGCTGGGCCAGGGACCGTCGGCCATCGCGACAAAAGAAGGGCGCCAGCGCAGGGCGGGTCTTTTAGAAACCAGGTCAGGCGGCGCAATCTGGCGCCTTCTGCCCGGCAGTGTAGAATGCTGTTGATAATGAGCGGCGTGCCTTCGTCGTCGCCGCAGTCGCCGTCGTCGTCGCCATGGCCGTTCTCGTCATCTCCCTCGTCTTCATCCTAGTTGCCCGCGTTGGCGTCGTCTTTGCCGCCGTCCTCCTTCTCCTCCTCCTCCTCCTCCTCCTCCTCCTCCTCCAACTCCTCCTCCACCTCGTCCCCGTCGTCGCGCTGCAGCCATCGTATAGTCGCCGCCGAAGTGCTCTGCCTTCTTTCCTTTTCCAGCGCCAGCTCCAGGCGCTGCCACGCGCACGCGGGAGATGGCTCTCGAGGAGGGCCGCTCACGCGCGCAGGTGGAAGCGGCCAACAGAGCCGCGCTTGCGGCGCTGCGTGAAGGCCGTCTCGCTATCGAGGATCTCGAGGGCTTGCTTCAAGCCCTCGGCGGGAGGCTCGAAAACGAATGGGGGGAGGGATGGCACGGCCGAGGCAAGGCTCTCTGCGACGCGCCTCTACTGCCAGCCCTTGCTGTGCGCCTCCTCCACTCTCTGATCGCAATCACCCACCAATTCCTCCTCCTCCTCCTCCTCCTCCTCCTCCTCTCCCCTT